CCCTTCGGCTTTGCAATATTTGGGCCTCTCAAGGACCCTCTCGATGCGACCTGGACGCTGTCTTGGTGTGTCTTGCCAGGGCGTGTCTCACCTGTTCTTGTCTTGTCTTGACTGGTCTTGCCTGGCTGCCTTGGAAGCGTCTTTGGCCGTCTTAGATTGAGGGATGAAAAAACGACCCTACCCTGGGTTGCATGTGCGTGGTCTGTAAACCTCCTGGGAAACCCCAAAGCCTAGAGAGCCGCCAGGACGCCGTACACAACGCAAGGCTTACCCTGGACGCCCACGGGAGTTTCAGCGCACAGCGCCTCGCAAACCAGGGTAGGGGCGTTCTTTTATGCCCTTGATGAGAGGCCATTTCACGCCGGCTACGTGGCCCTGGTCGACCGGATGGGGCCCACCCGCCTTATTATGCAGTCGGACTTGATTGGACGGGACGCGCGAGAGAACACAAGACCCTGCCAAGGGCCACATTGCAATTATAATGCAGGAGGGATGGGTCGCGAGATACAGGACACAAGGGTACACGTAGTTCATCTCTAATCGCGTTCGTTTTTAATTGTGCTCGTTTCTAACTGTTCCTGGCCCCCGAGTGGCCAGGAAGAGGCCCAGGATAGAACAAGTAGAAATGAAAGGATCTTGGCCCCCAAAGATCCAACAATTTTCTAATCATTAGAAATGAGCAATGTGTACATGGCCCTGGTCGACTGGAGGGGCCCACCCGCCTTGTTTGGGAGAGTCCCTTCCCACGGGTCGGAATGCCCCTGTCCGAGACCCATCCGAGCGTCCAAGACGGCCCAAGCTGGTTCCAATATGGGCACGTCTGGCCCAATATGAAGGGGCCCTGGGACACACGAATACATAGACACACATATAATAGGATTCCCCGTATTTTCCTATACTTTCTGGGTATTCCTCCTCCCCCCACTTTCCATAGTGTCCCATATTTTCTGCGGAATCGACGATTAATGTTGTCTGTGTGTGTTTTTGTTCCCTCCTGACAATACAGGCTCCAAGATGGCACAAGAAGACCCAAGATGGCTCGGGATATCTTCCAGCATGCCTCCAAGAGGCTTTCAAGACTGCCCCGAAGACGGCCCAGAAGTGGCCGATGAGCCTCTCAAGGTGACTCCCGTGAGACAAGCCTTACTCCATTCAGATGTTGTTTCAGTGCTGTGTGCCGTCTCGCTTTCGATGGGTCTATGAGGCCTCAGCATACAGTGGAGGCCCGTCCACAAGAAACCTTCCACAAGAAACCCAACCCTGAGACCCCAGGGCGTCCATTGATTTTTGATGTGGGAACGTCACGCCTTCCACAGCGAAACCATCGAAACCCAAGAATCCCAGGACACCCTGGAGGCAAGCAGGGTGTTTCTTGGCATGGTTCTCCATTGTAAAGATGGCGCTGAGATCGCTGAGTAGGACCTGAAAAAGGGCCCAACATCGCCCCAATATGGCTCCAAGAGCGCTCCGCGATGGCCCCAAGAGCGTCCAAGATCACCCCAAGAGCTTCTCAAGAGGGGTCAACAGTTGAGTTGTTGGCCTTCGGGAGAGGATTCTAATCGAGGGCCCTCCCTTTCTGCTCATCCATAGCCAGCAGGTTGGCCCCAAAAGGGCTTCCAAGGGAGGGCCAACGTAAAACCCAACGAGCGCAGCAAAGGCACCCGGAAGGCCCCAATACAACTCCAAGCTGGCCGGAAGAGACCTCCAAGAGGCTCCAAAGGGTCTCCAAACTCACCGTTGTTGACCCTTTGCTTCGCTATCCCTCCTTCCGGCAACTCCTCCGAGCATCGCTTCTGGATGGGCTAGTGGCGATCGACGAAGTGTCCATGCGGAGGCCCCCAAGCATGCGAGCCTGCGAGCGCTGGATGGTTTTGCCTGTGTGAAAAAGGCTCGGAAGGCGCGGCAGGCTACAGGCCCCCAGGCGGCCCAAGATGGCTCCAAGACGGCCCAAGATGGGCTCAAGACATCCTAAAACTCCCCAGGAGACCCAAGATGGCCGCAAGACAGACCAAGAGGCCCCAAACGTGGCCCGAGAGGGCTTCAAGATGCCCTCCAGGAGTTCAGGAGGTCCCCAGTAAGTACAATTAACCGATTTCCAGAATTCAGCCGAAAGATTTTGGAGTTCTTAGCTCTTTCCCGATTCTGACAAGCCAAAACGGCTCAGGAGGCCTCCAAGAGGACCCCAAAACGGCTCAAGAGGCCCCCAAAAGGGCCAAGACGGCCCGAAATGGCCCCACGATGGCCCCAGGACGCCCTCAAGACAGCCTCTGGAGGGCCCCCGCACAGCCCAAGGGGCCTCCAAGACGGCCCTTCAGCACCCCAAGAGGTCCCCCGAATGGCCCAGAGAGATCCCCACGACGGTCGCCGAGGGCGTCAAAATGGCCAAGAGCGCCCAACAGACGGACCAAGAAGGCCTGAGGTCCCCAAATAAGCCCCCAAAGACCTCCAGGAGGCCCCCAGGAGGTCCCCAGGAGGCGCTCAGGAGACGCAAAGAGGGCCCCAAGAGGCCGCCAAGCATCCTCCTACTCCTCCTCTTACTCCTGCTTTACCCTCCTACTCCTTCCTGCTCCTTCCTGCTCCTCCTCCTCCTCCTCCTCCTCCTTCTCCTCCATCTCGTTTCCTTGTACACAACTCCTCCTCCCTGCCCAGGCGCGTCGCTTCATGCTCCTGGTCGGCATATGACCACGAAGTTCCGAACTTCAGCAATTATGCGGATGGCTGGCTGGTCGTTTTCAAAATGTGGCTCTCGCCTTACCGCCGTGCATATTCGCCTGAAACGCGTCCAGTACATTTACAAGGATGGAAGACCAATCGTGTTCACATGTGGCTCTCGTCGTCAGGGCACACAGATTCGTCTTAACAACTTCGAACAGGTGCCCGGATGGAGAGCCAGTCGTTTGCAAACGTTGACTGTCGCCTGAGCGCCACGCACATTCGTCTTCAACGCTCCCAGCAAGTACGCGGATCAAGGCGAGTAAAGTTTCACTATGGAGCTCTCGCATGTGAGTTCCTCAAGCATGTCACAGCAGTCTGTGCAATAGTGTAACAGTTCCGCGGATGGAGATAGGCTCCTTTTGAACATGGGGCTCTCACATGAGTTTCGCAGTTATGACCAAAAGTTACACGCTGTGCAACAGCTACACAGATGCAAGGCTGCTCCAATTGGAAAGGGGGGCCGTCACCAGGCGATTCCTTCACTTTTCAAGCCCCACTTTGTCGCACTCCTCATGGCTCAAAGGACGGAGAGCGGCGTCCTTCAAAAAGGAGCCCCCGCCTGAAGTGCGGGCTCATAGGGCGCTGCTCTGCGTCAGTGTTGGTGCATGCCGCAGCGAAGAGCATGCTTGATTGAAGGGCTGATGGGGAGATGACGTGGGACGGGAGGATGTGCCGCAACATCGTTGATACACCTTGGGCTTACTCTGATGTTTCTCCTCAACTTCTCTCTTCTCTCTCCTCTATTCTCCGTCCTCTTATTATTATTATTATTATTCTCCCCTTATTTGAGCAGCGACCGACCGTCCCGGCATTCCTATAGTCCTACCACGAAGTGTTCTTAGAACCCAATAGTGTTCTAAGACCAGAAACAATGCTCTTAGAGCATAAGCCCGATGGGATAAAACAGGACAGACTCCGCCAGAAATGTTCTAAGGACATTTCGTGGGAACCACAAAAAAAGGTTCTTAGAACATTGTCTGGTAGGGCTATAGGCGAGCCAGACGCTTCGCCACTCCTCCCCTGACGGGCCCACGACGTGACGACATGCGACATCTGCGGGCCAGCTCCCCGAGGGAGGACCCGCCGCTGCTCCCGCCCCGCGGGCTCAACGGTATAGACGCGCAGGCATCGCTCCCAAAAGGGGTATCTCGCGAGAGGAGGAGGAGGAGGAGGAGGAGGAGGAAGAAGAGGAGGAGGAGCAGGAGGAGGAGGAGGAGGCGTATGTGTGAAAAGGAGCCGCCCTCCATGCCAGTGGCAATTGAGAGCTTCACAGGCGATGGGGTGCGGCGCCCAAGCGAAAACCGCATTCGCAAAACGACCGCGCTCCATCCCTGTAGCTGTGGAGTGTGTTTTAAGGGTGGTGCAGCACGAAGGCAGCACAGACACACAGCAACGGTGTGCTCTCCATCGTTGCAGCTGCCAGAACCCCCTAGAGCGAATGTGCACGGCGCCAGGGCGAGAGCCACATGTTGAACGCGACCAGCCACCCATGTTTGTAGATGCTGGAAGCGTTCAAGGCGAATGTGCGGGGCGCTCAGGAAAGAACAACATTTTTGTTCCCGCCGCATACCGCTACGACGGATGTCTGTTTTTTTCTTGGAGGGCGACGAGGGAACGAGGGAGAGGAGGAGGAAGAGAGGAGGAGAGGGTGGTTCTCAAAATTTCGCTCTCTCCATCGTACTGGGGTAGAAGAGACCGACATTTTGAGATCCACCCGCTCCCACCCCCGCGGTCGGGGGATTTGACGCCCTCACGATCCTGAGCGGCGACGGGGGCCTGCAACGAAACGCCTGGCCGGCCCTACCCGCATACCGGGCGGTGCGACGAGGAGGAGCTGTTCCCGAGGAAAAACAAATTGAGGAATCTGTGACGACCACCCGCTCAAAGACCACTTGGGGTCCTGGCGCCTCTCCGCGCCGCTGGCGCTAAACGCGACGGCGTGCACGACGGAGGAGGAGGAAGCCGAAGGCGTCGCATGCTGAGCAGGAGGAATGGAGACAGCACTGGGAGGAGGGGGAGGCGAAGGCGGCGGGAAGAGGGGAAGGAGGGGGAAGGAGGAGGATGCGGAGAAAGGGAGGCGGGAGGGGGAGAGGATGCAGAGGAGGAGGAGGAGGAGGAGGAGGAGGAGGAGGAGGAGGAGGATGAGGAGGAAGAGGAGGAGGAGGAGGAGGAGGAGGAGGAGGAGGAAGAGGGGCAAGAGACAGCAGCGGGAGGAGGGGGAGGAGCGTGGAATCGGCCGTGGGCAGGGAGGAAGGCACGCAGTGGGGCACGAGCAGCCGGGGCGCCTCTTCACCAAGGGCGGCAGCGCGCCTGACAGGTGCGTTTTCGGGGGGGGGGGAGGAGAGCGGGAAGGTGGAGGGAAAGGTGGAGGGAAAGGGGAAAGAGAAGGCAGAGGAGGAGGAGGAGGAACATGTGCAGAATGAGGTGTGTACGTGAGGGGGAAAGGTGTGTGGAGGAGGGGGTCCAGGACAGCACTGGGAAGAGGGAGGTTGAGAACTGCTCCTCCTCCCTCCTCCTCCTCCTCCTCCTCCCTCCTCCTCCTCCTCCTCCTCTTCCTCCCCCTTCCCAATGTTCTCGTCCCTCCCTCCTCCCTCATCCGCCTCCTCCTCCTTCTCCTCATCAATTTTTTCCTCCTCCTCCTCCTTTTCCTCCCCCTCTACCCCCTAATCCCTTCCGTCCTCCTCCTCCGCCTCCTCCTCCTGCTTCCTCCTTCCTCCCTCCTTCCTCCTCCCGCCTCTCTCCTCCTTCAGCCGCCGTCCCGGGTCGAGGCTTTGGGTGCAGTGCCCGCGGTACCAGGTACCGCCGCGCGCTGCGCGCCTCGCCCGCGGACAGCTGCCATGCGCGCAGGCCGCCTCGCCTTGCCCCTGGCGCCGATGCCAGGCGAGCCGCAGGCCAGCCGCGCGCCGCGAGACCCCTCCGGACGGCGTTGCAGCCGACCGAGGCCGACGCTTCGTGCAGCTGCGCGACGGCTCGGCTATGCGGCCAGAGTCGGATGCTGGCCTCGTATGAGCGACGTGGCCGCCGTCGTGCGTCGTGGCCCTGCTCCTGGACCCGAGCGTGTCCGCGGAGATAAACATGCACTTCTTCTTGCTGGTGCTGCACCCCGGGAGTCACCCGGGCTCGAGGCGATCAGCGCCCCTGCGGCTGCGGCAGCCGCCCGTTCGCCCAGTGCTACGCCGACCTCCTCGCCGTGTGCTTCGTCGGTGCTGCTGCCGCCACGCGTGTTGCCTGCGCAACCCGCCCAAGATCGTGCCGACGCTGCTGCTGCAGCTTCTCCCGCTCTCGGCCAGGATCATGTTCTACGTCTTCTTGCTCGTGCTGTACTCCCGGAGCTCCCGCCGTGCTCGATAGGCGCGGAGCGTGGCGCTCGGGCGGCGTATCTTGGTACCTCCAGCTACCTGGCTGCTCGCCGCGTGCCGGCGCCGCCGCCTGGCGCTCCTCCCGCTGTGGCGCCGGCTGTGGCCTTGCGCGCTCCGCCGCCGCCGCCGCTGTACGATGTGAGCCGATACGTCGTCGGCACACCGTGCGGGCAACTTGGTGACGTTGACGCTGCTGCTGTACCCGCGTCGGACGCGAAGCTGGAGGCCGGTGCCGTGGCGGAGGCCCCCGCTGCGATGCCCAGCAAGGCTGGCTGCCGTCAGAGCTGCTGCCCATCCTGCGGCTGCGTGTCCGCTGGCCGCGCGCCGCGCTGCGTGGCCCCAGCAACGCGCAGCGGCACTGGGACAGCGGAAGCTACCCGAAGGGCGAGCAATGGCAGCCGGCCCTATCGCTTCTCAGCGAGATGTGGGTGGTCAAGCTGGAGCCCGACATCATGATCTAGAGCACGTGGCAGCCGGCCCTATCGCTGCTCAGCGAGATGTCGGTGGCGAAGCTGGCACCTTCCATTCTGAGCCACAGAACCCCGACCAGCGTGTGCGAGAAGCGCTGGCAGTGGCAGCCAGCCCGATCGCTGCTCATCGAGATGTGGATGAAGAATATGGAGCCCGCCATCGAGAGTTTCCGGATCCCGATCCGCGCGTGCGAGCAGGGCGGGCAGTGGCAGCTAGCCCTCTCGCTCCTCCGCGAGAGGTCGGTGGTGAAGCTGGAGCCCGACATCCTGAGCTACATCACGTGGCAGCCGGCCTCATTGCTGCTCAGCGAGATGATGACGAGAGGAATCGGAGGATCGGCGACGCGATCGCTGCTCAAGGAGGCATCGAAGCTGCCAGGGCCTCCATGGTTGCCGCATATGCGGCCATCGGCATCCATATGAAGTAAAAGATCGTGCCTCGCTCTGATGGTGATCGTCGGGATCTTCTTCCAGACAGCCCAGATGGTGGCCCCGAGTGAGGCGACTGAGCATTGAGTATTGCAAGCTTCCTGCCACGTCGCAACTTGTCAACTTCAGGACGATGTTTGTGAAGTGGGATCATGAATGCACGTCTGTGCTCAGACACTTTGATCACGAGAGCATGAGATTTTCGGTCTGTGTCCCAGCCTTCTCCCAAGCTCTCTTCCGTGTCACGAGAGCAGGAGGATTTCGGTCTGTGTCCCAGCCTCTTTCTCCCTCTCGCATATCCTTACTATTTTTTCCCGCCCTCCGCCTCTCCTCCACAATGCCCGTGTAGGGAACGGCACGCGAGCAGTGTATGTCTCGATCCGTCTGTCGCCACCTACTGTGGGGGATGGGGGTTTCATGAAGGAAGATAGGGAGGTGCAGGGGAGGAGCAGCAGCTGCCGTAACATGCGTCGCATCCCCTCCCTCCCCCGGTTAGCGCGAAGGTAATCGCCTCTGCTTGCCTCCGCCGTCGTCGTTCGTCCGTGTCGCGCGGGTGCGAAGTTTTCCTTCCCCCGCTCAGGTACGAGATGTCACGACTTCACGAGAGCAGGAGAATTTTGGTCTGTGTCCCAGCCTTCTCCCAAGCTCTCTTCTGTGTCACGAGAGCAGGAGGATTTCGGTCTGTGTCCCAGCCCTCTTTCTCCCTCTCACTTGTTATTCCCTCCCTCCGCCTCTCCTCCACAATGCCCGTGTAGGGCACGGCACGCGAGCAGAGTATGTCTTGATCTGTCCGTCGCCACCTACTGCGGGGGATGGGGGTTTCATGAGAGGAGGGAGGGAGGTACGGATTCCTTGCTTCGGTTCGACGCGTCCCGTCCGCTCTGATGCGGGGGTCCATTCGTGCTGTGCTGGCCTTGCCTCACTTGATGCCCGTGCAGATCACCGCTTTTTAGTTCAGCCGGCCTGCCTGACTGTTCTTTAAAGTTTCTGCGAGTTGCAGCGCCACTCTTTCGCGACAGCCGCCAGGTTCATCGCGCGCGCAATCCAAAATCCTCTACCTTCTCCTCCTCCTTCTCCTCCTCCTCCTCCTCTTCCTCCCCCTCCTCCTCCTCGTCCTCCTCCTCCTCCGCCTCCTCATCTACCCCTTCCTCCTCCTCCTTCTCCTCGTCCTCCTCCTCCTCCTTCGTCTTCCTTCTCCCCCTTCCTCCTCCTCCTCCTCCTCCTCCTCCTCGTCCTCCTCCTCCCTCCTTCTTCTATTTTCTCCGCCTTCCCTCTCCTCTCCTTTAGCCAGTTGTGTTTGGAACGCTCTCTTTCTCTCTTTCTCTCTCTCTCTCTCTGTTTCTCTCTTCGCTTGTCTCTCTCTCTCTCTCTCTTTCTCTCCTTCGCTCTCTCTCTCTCTCTCTCAGGCGGTGTTCGGGGAACTACCAGGGACGCCTCTAGCGCAAAGCTTGCGGCTTACTGCTACGTACCTTCTCCTCCCCCTCCCGCTCCCGACATCCTCTCTAGCTCCCTCCTCCTCGCAAGAGCGGGTGGTGGGTGGTGGGAACTTGTTTGGTGCGCCCACCCGCCATCTTGACAGGCAGCCCACGGGTGCAGGGCGCTGCCAGGCTCCCTCTGGCAACAGAACACCTCCCCCCTCCTCCTCCTCCTCCTCCTCCTCCTCCTCCTCCTCCTCCTCCTCCTCCTCCTCCTCTTCCCTCCTCCTCCTCCTCCTCCTCCTCCTCCTCCTCCGTTTCTCTCCTTCTCGAAAACGCCTCCCTGCCGCAACCCTGGACGTGTCTCAGGGCGGGCCGGGTGTTTCGCCTGAGATTGCCTCACCATCTATGAATATGAAGCTCGAAGTTTGCAACAACTTCGCGGATGGAGGGCGGGTGATTTTCAGCATGCGGTTCTCCCTTTGGCGCCGCGCACGTGGTCCTGAAACTACTGCATCGACCTCAAGGATGGGGGGCAGGACGTTTTCGAACTGCAGCCCTCGCCTGAGCGCCGCGCATACTTGTTCCAAAAATGGGAATTGTTTCACGGATGGAGGGCGGCTCCTTTTCAAAATGCGGCTCTCGCCTCAGCTCCGCGCGCATTCGCTAAAACACATTATAACCGTTCCAATACTCGTATGGCTGAAATCACATGAAGGGTGCTTTGGGTCGGTTTGGGACTGTCAAGACGCAACGGACATTTTAGCTCGCTGTGTTGAAGTCCCAAGAATGGCGTTCTGGCGCGATTGAGGAGGGCAAAACAGTCATGTTGATTCCCGGTGTTGAATTCTCACAAACGGCAATGTGGCACGATTGAAGATTATCAGACTTTTGTCTTCATCATCATCATCATCATCATCATCATCATCATCACCATCATCATTCCCCCCCTTCCTCCCGCGAGCCGCCCTGTCGCGCGGAGCCTCCGCCAGCGGCCACGGAGCCGGCGGCGGCCGGGAGGCGTTCCTCCTCGCGCCATCGCGCTCTGGCTCCCCCTCGTCGTCGCCGCGGTCGTCGTCGTTGTCGTCGTCCTCGTCGCTGTCGTCGTCGTCCTCCTCCTCCTCCAGCCGCTCCCCCTCTCTTCCTCCTCCTCCTTCCCCGGCCATCATTCAGCTTCCCCGCTCCCTCCTCCGCCTTCTCATGCTTCTCTCGGCCCAGAAAAGCCCCAACCCAGCCCAAGAGGCCTCCAAGACAGCCCGACAGCGCCCCCCCAAAACCCCTAAGATGGCTTAGAAAGGTCCACAGCACGGCCTCCAAGGGCGTCAGGCGGGCCACGAGCGCCCCAAGACAGCCCAAGAGGGCCCGAAGAGGCCCCAACAGGCCCCAAAGGGGCCTCCAAGAGGCCCCCAGGAGGTCTCCAGGAGGCGACCATGAGGAGTCAGGAGGGCCCCAAGAAACCACCAAGAAGACCCCTCTTCGTTCTCGGCCCGGGGGTCCGTCTTGGGAGGACTGGGAGCGCCATGCTCGGCACCTTCGGCACCGTGGGGTCGGGGCATCGCGTTTGGAATCCATGGTCAATCAAATTGATGTCATTGCCAAGCGGTCCGCCCGGTTCGCCATACCTGGTTCACCCAGACAATTCCAGGAGTGAGTCGCCACTCCCGCGCAGATCGTACCCTTGCAACTCCGCAGCTTGAAGGAACAGCCGTTGCCAGCAACCTAGGTGGTCGTGGCTGGCCAGCGCTTGTACCACTCCAAAGGATTGACCGATGACCGATGAGAAAGGTTTGAAGTACCAATCTTTCTGGACAGATTCGGCAATCACACATTCATAATCAATTTGCCTATCTCAGCGCATCCGAGAACATGCGGACGCAGCCGAATTGCCGGCTTGGGAGTTTCGGATCTCGAGAGGGCCCTCCAGAAGATGAAGGCACGAATGGGCCACGGGATTGATATGCTGTCACCAGTGGATTCTGAGAGGCTCACCGATGAAACTTTCAGTGATTCAGGTTGACGTTGTAAGGCCGTAAACGAAAATGATACCTGGCCCTGCCAGCTTTTGACTGATCCGACGAAGTTGTTGGCCAAGAAGTCTGGTGGGATCGTGTTCTCGGACTGATACCCAGGACGTGTCGATTGTTGCCCCTCGCTGGGGACGAATCTGCCGAGGTTGAACGGCTGAGGCAAAAGGCCCCGCGGGCTGCTGCGATAGCTAGGAATTCGGCTATTCGAGGAACGTGCTTGAATGCTCTGGAACCTGAAGCATTCACCAAACTATGCCTGACGCACGCCCAGGCCATCGTAAACACCGAAAGCTTTTACGACAACATACGGTGGGACAACCTTGTTGCCACTGCCTTACCCTGAAAGTGTCAGTCCACTAAAGTAGCTCTACATTTACAACTATTCACGACGCCGAGCCACATGGGATCTCGTGAATGTGCCTTCCAATGTACACGCAGTGGTGTACTACAAGGGCTTAGACATTGAACTCGTTTGGTGCGGTCTCTAACTTGTCATAGGTTGGGAAACGGCTGTAGTGCATCCGCCACCGTCATCTAGCCAGCAAGTATGGGTTGATGTGTTCGTGTTGCGCGTAGTAGGATAAGCGAGGCACGCCCCAAAGGCATCACAACTTGTTTGCAAGGCGTTACCCATTTTATTTGGGACGAGAGTTTTGTTATAGCTTCCAAGAGCTCGAACAAGTTCGCGCCATCGTCGGCCCCACTGTGTTCACATTCAACCTGCTCTTCAAACAGGATATTGTTGAATCGATTTGGGAAAAGGGAGGAGGGTGGCCTGGAAAACTCGTCGTGGTCGTGTCGCTCAGAGGGCAAAGGCAGAACGCAAAGATCCGCAGAACACTTCGGCATCAGATTTCGAGTCACACGGCGAGCGGAACTCTCTGGACTTGTCTGTTCCGTCGCATGGGATGTCCATCCACGTCGTTTTCGGTACGCAACTTCTCAATGCACGGAGGAGTTTGGACGCGGTTCCGCGTGCCAGCAGAAAGGAGAGATGTCTCACATCGGCGTTGGAGATTTGCACGCCTGGTAGAGATCCAGGAGCATGTTGCCAACATCGTTCATCAGACACTTGTTGGACTGGTGGGTCAAGTATCCGTCTATTCATCCGGGGGTCGCGCCAGTAATTATGGTCGGACATATTCGCTGTATTTCGTAGTATCCCATGGCCAGATACACCAAGTATGCCAAAGGTCCGTTGTCGGCCACGGTCCCCCCACTGTTTCATGCAAGATGGGATCCAATCTCACCGATCAAATGGAATGGGCCGCCGAGCGAAACGAGAGAGCCGTTTTGTGAGTGGTCGTTCGAGGCAGACGATCTTCCATATGCGTTCAGGATGCGAAACTTACCCGGACATGTTGCATTGAACCTCAGTCCTGCCCAAGGGGGCATGTACTAGCCCAGCTTGAGACAGCGGGACGGGGCAAGCAGCTCGCTGCTATTGTATTATGCATTGCTGCGGGACGAAATTGGTTAGGACAACGCAAAACGATGGGATTGCCGGATTCTGACCTGTGTCCTCGTTGCAAGCTTGCCTCAGAGACACCCGAGCACAAGTAATGGACGTACTGCCAGAACGTTGGATATGCTACTTTCGTTCAATCTGACCACCTCGTGCCATCAGGTCTTTCCGTTGGTACTGTTGAAACCTGCTTTGACATCGGGGGCTAGTCCCACCAGCCCTCAGGTCGTGAGTGGTCTAACGAGCAAGTTCTGCTAACCCTCTTCTTCCCCTTCCGGGAGGGATTTCCCCCTCCCCCTCCCCTTCTCCCCCTGGGTATGGATGGGAAGGGGTTCGCGAGGTGTCAGACGGTGCCTTTTGGCCAACGGGGGCTCCAAGAAGACCCCTAAAGAGCTTAAGATTGCGTCCCAGACCGCTCGAGACAGTCCAAGATAGTCCAATGCAGTTTCCAACATGCCTCCCAGAGCCCTCAAGACCGCCCCAGGGCGGCTCCAAGTGCCCCCCGTGCCTCCCAAGCAGGCCCCAATACGCCACAATCATTAAATCACCATGTGTGTGCTCCTATGTGTTTTGCTTTCTCGCCTTTTTTCTTCCGACGGGCTCTTGAGGCTCCACGATGGCCAAACGATGACCCAAGGAAGGCCCCACGAGGGGCCCAACAAGGGCCCAAGAGCGCCCCAAGAGGATTGTTTCGGCCCCGACGGGGGGGCGCTGCTTGAGCACCCCACAACGCACACACACCCATTATCTGATCGATGGCTTCCAAACAATGGCCCCAAGAGGCACCTCCAGGCTCCCACGAGGGGCCGAAGAGGCCCCCAAGAGGACCCCACGGAGGGCCCAGGATAATTACCCTCAGAGTGTTCCAAAAACGCAACAACAAGGCGTGTTCCTACACTTCTCTGCTCACTGCAACTCTTCTGGGCATCGTTTCTGGATGGGCTGATGGGGATACGCGAACCGTCAACACTTTCAACAGCATGGATCCACGTTTCTGAGGCTTCGGATGAGGTTTGGAGTGCTCATGCAGTCGGACCTAGGCCAGAAGAGCATCCCTCAAGAACAGTCGGCCAAACCGCATAGAACATCCAAGGGTACCCTCCCCATGATGCACAAGAGCATCCGAAAAGCACGAAGACGACTAAGGCACCCTCCCCGAACCGACCTCGATCTCATGCACTAGTCTAGGGCTCCCAACTGCGCGCTCCGCGCTCAGCGGAGCGCGAATCACTTCGCGCTCTCGCGCCGCCCCCCCCAAAGGGAGCAAAGGAGGACGAGGAGGAGGGGGAGAAGGAACGAGGACCGCGAAGCGCGAATCAGTTCGCGCCCTCGTGGGAGCCCTTGATTAGTCCTACGGTGACATTGGCGCCAATGTTAAGTCGGGCCTGTCCCCCTACAGAGGGATTTTCGACGAAAAATAAAAATACCCCCAAACAAAAGAAAAAATGATCCAAAAATAGTCTGGGGAGTATTTTTGGACTATGGTTTGACCTTTTTGGGGTATTTTTGGGGTATTCTTGATTTTTCGTTGAAAACCCCCCTGTAGGGGGACACGCCCGACGTAACACCAGTGAGCCCGGCAGTGGTGCTCTCGGGGAGGGGGCTCCGGATCACCCCCTGCAGGTCGTCTTTTGGGGGGGGGTGCGTCTGGTGGGGCCCGCGTGCGTGGTCCTCGGCTTGGGCGTGTGAGCTCGGGCGCCGGGGCCGCCATGCATCACGCTGGGGCGAGCAGTTGGCCCACTTCCTGGGAGGCGGCAGGCTCTACGCCACGAATATATATATATATATATATATATATATATGTATATATATATATATGTGTAGATATAACACTATATATACACATACATACACCGACGCCCTCAGACGAAATCTGTATGTGCCTCCAGGGAGGGCGGCGGTGTAGAAAATCGCTGGCTCTCAGTGGTGATTGATACACCGGCACCCTGCCCTGAGGCCCAGGAGCGATCCATTGGAGGGTGTACGTGTACGTATCTTTGTGGCGGAGACTCAAGTGTTTAGAGATTCCCATCAGGTGGTCGATCGGTCATCTCATTCACATCAGTGATCAGGGCGGAATTGCGAAAAGGAGGTGGTCCAAGATGTACCGCCATCCGTACGGGGCTGAGGCAGACCTCTGGCGTCACGTCGGGGCGTTACTCGTCTCTGAGACTTGTTATGAAGTGATCAAAATCCCTTCCCACGCCGAGCCGACCGACATGGGGGCGAAAGGCTTGCCTGGGTGGCGGGATCGCGCGGGCCGAAGCAACTGATGTGCTGGCTGCTCGAACGGCCGAAACAACCGTATCGAATCCCGCGTGGTATCGCGTTCCGTGTGCAGGCGGGAGAGATGGATGCAAAGTGGGGTCGGAAACGCCTCATGGGAACTGCCTTGGCGCCGAGGCGGCTCACCAAGAGGCGCTGCGTGCTGATGAGCAAGCCGTCCCTTTCGCTGCTGGTGCTGATGCGCCTCCTCCTGCTCCCGTCCCGCCCCCTCCTCCCCCTTCCCATCCCGCCTCCCGCCACCTCCCTCGCAGCGACGCTGGCCTCACAGCCCGCCCTGGACCCTGCGGGAGGCGGGCGCAGGGCGTGCACCTCTTCCGCTTCGGCGGCGGCCGGCAGGACCGCCCGGCCGAGGACCAGTTGCCGCCCGCTTGTGGCAGCAGGTGAGGGGGGATGATTCTTGGGGGAGGAGGAGGAGGAGGAGGAGGAGGAGGAGGAGGAGGAGGAGGAGGAGGAGGAGGAGGAGGAGGAGGAGGAGGAGGAGGAGGAGGAGGAGGAGGGAGGAGGAGGAGGAGGAGGAGGAGAAGGAGGAGGAGGAGGTGGGCGCCGACGACATGCCGTCCGTGTGACCGAAGAGCAGCAGGCGGGTCGACTGCTTTTGGGGGGGTGAGAGCCCACGGTTCGCACGCGCTCGTCCATAATCCTAGTGTTGGAGTTTGGATCTGAATTTGCAGCTTGCTTTGTCTTTTCGGATATTCCGAGCTCCGTAATCTTGCTAATGAGTGCAGGCCCAGCACCATCACAAGCAGCAGGCGAGAATATCTTGTGACATTTCGCCAGAGGCCTTCGACCTAAGGCATTCGTCGGCAAATGATCTTGTGTGTGTTCAAATGTCGTGCCGTAATCCCGTATTCCTCCTCTGATTTCGCGCGGGGAGCGTCGCGGGGCGACGTCGAACGTGTATGTCAAGACGAGGCTGACCCAAGCCACACGCAACGACCAAGCAAGCAAGCGCAGCGACAAAATGTCAACGTGGGCGCTCCTGGCTGCCCGCGTGCCGCTCAGCATGGGCGCCCACACCCTCGGATTGTTCCGCACTCTTCGCCTCCGATCCTTTTCCAAGCCGCCTCTCGGCTAGCAGCCATCATCTCTGAAGAACCCAATTCATGTGTCCACACCGCCTCCGGGAGGTATTCCGCGACATGCGCATCTGGCCGCTGCATTGCCTCTTCGCGCCGGGGACTGGCCCGATGGACCAACGAAGAAACGATCGTGCAATCTTTGGGGTGGTCTTAGGTCGGGCCTGTCCCCCTACAGAGAAGTTTGGGACGGAAAACTAAACATAACCCCGCAAACATATTCCCAAAATGCCCCAGACGGGTCGAAAGATGGTCCCCAGACTATTTTTTACTATTTTTGAGTATTCCCCCTGCAGAGGGACAGGCCCGACTCAAGTGAAGGGGGAACTGGGACACACAAATCAGTATACACAAATAGCCAGAGTCCCCCTATCTCCCTATCTTTTCTGGGTGTCTGTCTCCCCCCCCCGCCACTTCCCGTAGTTTCCCATACTTTCTGGGGGATCGACGATTCATGGTGTCTGCGCGTCTTTTCCCCTCCTGCAGAGGGACGGGCCCGACTTAAAGGGCGGCCTCTCCTCCGCGCGCGGGGCGGGCGGGCCCGCCAGCGGGCCGCCGGGGCGGGCCGGACCCCCGAGGGCGGCCGGGGGCGGCTCGGGGTGGCCCCTCGCGGCGAGCCCGTGGGGGCCGGGCGGGGCGGAGCCCTGCTCGGGCGAAATCGGGCCTGTCCCCCATACGAAGGGAATTTTGGGCGAAAAACAAAACATATTCAGAACATCTATCCAAAGCATGCTCAAAAGTAGTCAGAACATGGTCCCCAGACTACTTTTTACAAAAATGCATATTCCTTGACAAAAAATGCGCGACACATATCCAACCATAATCAGAAAACATCCAAACATGCGCATCACTAGTTAAACAATCCTCAAACTATTTTTGTTCGTTGTTTTTTTGAACATTCCCCCTGTAGAGGACAGGCCCGGCTCAAGGTTCGGTCGGGCCTGTCCCCCTACTGGGGGGTTTTGGGGGGCAAATGGAAAAAGTTACAAAATACTTCAAGAATGCTCAACAATAGACAAAAAATGATCCCCGGACTATCTTTTGACTATTTTTGAATATTCCCCCTGTAGAGGGACAGGCGCGACTTAACCCTACAGGGGGATACTGGGCGAGAAATTGACAAATATTCAAGAATATTCAAAACATGCTCAACAATAGTAACACAAATTGTCCCCCTACTATTTTTGTTGACTATTTCTGAATCTTCCTCCTGTAGAGGGACAGGCCCGACGTCGTGCTCGGGGGGACGGGCCGCGTCGGCGAGGACTACAGGGAGGGAAAGGAAGGGGAAGGACGAAGACGATGGGAGGGACTACAGTGAGGGGGGGGGGGCTACTGTGAAGGGGCCCTGGGACACACAAGTAAATACACACCAATCAAGAGATTTTCTATATTTTCCCGTATTCTCTGGGGTTCTGTCCTCCCCCCCACTTCCCATATTTTCCCATACCATATCCTCTTGGGAATCGACGATGAATTGTGTCTGTGTGCTTTTTTCCCTCCTGAGACAGGGAGGGGAAGGAAGGGGGAGGACGAAGGTGATGGGGGGGGCGGAGGGGGGGGGGGGGATGCAGGACGTGGGAGGAGGGAGGCGTGGGTGAGCAGAGGAGGGAGGCAGATGGGAGCGAGGAGGGCGAGGGGGGGGAGAGCGAGGTGGAAGGACGGAGGGGGGAGACGAGAAGGGAGGGCGGGAGGACGGGCAGAGCGGGGATCTTCTGACCCGGGTCAATCCAGACCCGGGTCAGCAGGAAACCAAAAACTGCAATGCAGGAAAAAAAAACTGCAACGCAGGTCTTCGCAAACCCGGGTCAGCCAATAGGCGCGGCCGCCTCGCGGCCACGAACGGCTCCCTAACCCGGGTCGGTCAGAGGGGGTTTTCGCAGGATCCTGCAGGATCTGGCGCCCTGGCTGACCCCCGTCTGCATTGACCCCCGTCTCGAGGCTCCCGAGCTCCGCCGTGAACGCTGCTGCCGGGAGCACCCTGCCTGACAGAGCCGTCCAAATACGACGGGCACGCCGGACAATTTGTTGGATCCGCGGGTCGAGAACGCACCTCTTCCGGTCGAAGCTAAGCGGGCCGCGCGAAGCTCGAATTAGGCGGAGAAGAGGAGGGAGGAATCGGGCACGCCGGACAAGCAAGCGCCTCACATCGTCCGAGACATCTCGTGCGTTACCGTGCCAGCCCCGTGGGCCAGCACCCCGTTGTTTTTCAAACCAGCCTGCGCGCAGCCTGCATCTCAACATCGGCGTGCAATTCCTCAGGCTCCCCCTATCCTCCCCCCCTCTTCCCGAGCGGATGTCGCAACTGAGTGGCCCCGTACGCGCTTGAGTGATTTCACTCGGCCGCAATGTCTTGACTGCTTGTTGGTCTGTCTGATCACTTGCTCTATCTGCATGCTGGAGGCCAGTTAGTCCAAATGCGACACCACAGTTCTGGCTCTATGCAAGATTTGGTTTCCTGCGGGCAGTACATATTGGATCACTGTTGGTAACATTGAGGGGACAGGCGGGAACGGCAGGAAGCCAGATATTGTGAACGGTTCGCTTTTGGGCTTTCTTCCTAATGCGCCATTGCAACAGTTCGTCACGTTTTATGGGGGCGTCAAGATGATGCAGGTTTCGTCCGATATTTCCGCGCAAGCGGGCGGGCGAAGGCTGACCCATGTCCCGACCGCGCCAAGCCGCCCCTCTTCCCCCCCCCCAGAATCCTAACGGGCTGGGTCAAGAGCGGTCGGATCAAAAATCCGGGATTTGTAAATCCGTAATTTCATCAGTTATATCACAGTATACATTTCGAACAAGATCATTTATAGCACTCCGGCGAAATAACGCACGGTTTCAGAAATCCCACCGGGCGGTATCTAGCCCAGACAGCGCAAGATGATGAACATCCAATTCAAGATGAAACTTTCGTTACGATGATGCAGCCCCTCCCGCTCACCCTCCAAACTCCCGAAGCCGCACCCAGAGCCATGGCGACCGCTACCACTAGCGACCGGGTCGTCTTCAGCCTCTGCGCCCCCGCTCCGGCGCTTCTGAGGCACTGCTCTCCCTTGCTTGCGCCCGCCATGAAGGCGCTGTTGCAATCACTGGCAGCCCTCCCTGCGCTATCCCAGCAACCCCCCTGACACCATCCGACAGCGCCTGTTCAACTCGCCCCCCTCTGCTCACAAGAACAGGCGGGTGCCACTCCTCGTGCCGCCGGGCAACCAGCGTTTGCTTGGTGTCGACCGGCTGCGGCTGCATCTGTATGGTGCCTCCCAACTTCGCCTCCGGACTCGCACGTCCATCCAAGCGGAGCCGGGAAGCGAGCCTGGACAGCCTCCCCCTCCTCCTCCTCCTCCTCCTCATCCTCCTCCTCCTGCTCATCTGTAGGTCATCTCGCCCATCGACGCAAGGGGGCCCGCGCGCCCCCGTGCCCGTGCCTGGGCCTGGCTGTCTTGGGGGTGCAGTGCGGACGAGGCTGTAAGACACCTTCGCGAGAGACCCCGCCCTGCGAATCCGCCCGCGAGGCGCGAGTCGGTGGGGAGGGACCAAAAATAGGGGGCAGGAAATCCACCCCCATACAGTCGGGGCGTTGACCTAAGGAACCCTAAATAAGGAACGAGGCCCCTTTTTCCCATCAGTTAAAGGAAGATTTCCCATGGAAAACCTCCGGATAACCATAGACAAACTGTTAAACTATCAAGGAACACCGAGCCCCTCCCCAACGAGAAAGGTTCCTTCTTCAGCCCGAAGCACCCTGACAAGCAAAGCCGTTTAGTAAACACGCCCAAGCGAGGAAATCAAACAGGGCATGGCCTGTTAGTGAACGCCCAGGGCCGTTTGGTAAACGCTAATTCTCGGGGTCGGGGTGGTTCTTCCTCTCTTGACAGGAGCACCCTGAAAGCAGCAGTTTCGCAACGCCCGCGGGAAGCTCTCTTGTTCCTCGCGACCGCGCTTCGCAAGCCTGATGCCCCCTGTGGCTTCCTCTCGAAGCGTGCCGCCGAGGATGTGTGAAACAGGGGGGGAAGCAGAGCAAAAGAGGGCGCGGACAGGGAAAAAAGACTCCATCGTTATGCGCGGGGACCCCATGGCACTTTCGGCCAACAACGCTCGTGGAAAATCATCGCGTGGCGCGCGAAGGGACCCCCTGACAGAAACCATCCGCCTCCTTGATGCGCGCCCCCACGCTACCTTGTGAGTCGTGAGCTGAGGCCTTCAAGGCGTGCACGCCGCTGGCATCCGAACGCGGCTCGTGCGCACGGGTGCGCTCGTGGTGCATGCCCCCCTGAATAACCGAAGCGATACGAAGCAAAGAAGGATCCTGGCAGCAGGAGGCCCTACGTCTAACACTCTCAAGCCCGCCACGTCTTCAAGTGCAACAGGCAGGTCATGCGGGCATGTAGGTGAACGGATGGGAGCAACATGCTGAAAGATCAACGCGTCAATGCCACACTCTTGGCCGTCCTGGAAACGCTCAACGATACAAACAAGGCGTATGTGACGGACGATTCGCCGACGGACGACACGTAAAACGCAACATGTCGGTGGCGGAAAGCTTCCCTGTCCCGGGCGGGGAGGATCAGGAGTGGTGGAGAGAACCTGGCCATCGCTCGGACGTCCATTCCCTGTGCTTTTTGTCGGTTTCGTGCGTGTTTTTTTCGCCAAACGATCAAGGATGCTCCTCGATGGTCCTCGCCGAAGGAAAAATGCACACGTCCGAGCGATGCCAAGGAACAAGATGGGGATCCTGATGGCGCGCTGCACCTCCCCCTCTGTGCCCATTCCCCTTGCCCTCCGTTGTGCCGGTTCCAAGCGGCACAGAGGAGCTCGGGTCCTGGCGAAACGAGCTTGAGGAGCGCAGGTGTGACAAGAAGGCAGGCTGCCTCCAAACTACAGGCAGGGCCAGCGGCAAGGCTGACGCATGAGGCGCCAAAGCAACGGCTATGGATATGAGAAGGTAGCCCTGAGGAATACGAGCCACCCGTCCGTCGGGCAACATGTTCAGCAAACGCGACGAGCGAAGACCTGCTCGCACGGCCCAGCTTATGCGACAGGGGTTTACAGGCTGAGTCCACTTTATGAAGCTGAAAAATAACTGGGTCAGAGCGAGGAGAGGAGCGTATTCTTCATGACCATCTTGACCAGTGCAGCTACATAACACAGCGTGGCGTGGGTGGATGAACGCTCGGAGTGAGTCATCGCACCTGCGCGCAAGGCTTTTGAAGGCTTGAACACGGGATCGGAGAGACAAGCGGACACAGAAAGTGACTCCAGCGTGGACCCCAAATAATGGTTGATTGCAACCTAGACGACGCAATCCATGTGGTGCAACATCTGCGGCGTAACCTACGGGGTGCAACCCAAGTGGTGCGATCTATGTGACGCCAGTCTTTGCACTGAAATTCCTGTGGCGCAATCTGTTTGACACAATCTCACGGGCCGGACCCTGTGGCGAAGACAAATCCTCGGGCACCACGGACGTGGGCTGGACCCCATGGGCGGGACCCTGCGACGAAGAAAGCCCCCCGTAGCATCCACACCAGGCCCGTTGATGGCGAAGCAAGGGCCCCTGAGCGCGAGCCGCGATTGGGGAACAACACGCCCGCGCCCTCATTAGGAGGAGGAGGAGGAGGGAGAGGAGGAGGAGGAGGAGGAGGAGGAGGAGGAGGAGGAGGAGGAGGAGGAGGAGGAGGAGGGCCCGCGCCCTCCTTCGCAGCAGGAGGGCGCAACCTTGTGGGACCCCTTGGGCAGGGAGTCCATCCACGGAGAGACTGCCAGCGTGGGTCCCATACACAAGGTTTTTTTGTAATGCTCTCGACGTGCAGGCTTTCCAGAGCTGTATGTATATGTATACGTAAATGTATGTATACATATATATATATATATACACATATGTACACATATATATGCATATATGTATATGTATATGTAGAAAATATAATCCACCACCTTGCCCTTGAGGCACAAGTGTGAGTATCATTAAGTCCCCTGCCCAATTACCCCGAGCCTCAGTCCTCAATCCTGAGGTTCTTCGAAGGGCCCGGACACCAAATTCTTCTTGGGGCCCATGGCGTATCTTCCCAAATGGCAGATTTGGGCCCAAGATGGTCCAAGACGGCCCAAGAGGGCCCCAACAGGCCGCCCAGACGGTCCAAGAGGTCTTCGAGTCGCCGCGCGATCGGTCCAAGACGCCCAAGACGGCCCAAGAAGCCTCTAAAACGCCCTAAGAGGCCTCCAACAGACACAAGTACTTGATGTTCTACAAGTTTTTGCAGGATTTGCGCGGCGTCGCCTTTGCGACTTCCCGACGCTCCTGGAAGGCCCGAGAGGTCCCCAAGATCGCCCCGAGATGGCCCACGAGGCCTCCACGAGGGCCACAAAACGGCCCAATCAGAGCCCCGAGACGGCCCAAAAGGTGCCCAAGACGGCCCAAGAACTCCCCCAAACGGCTCCAAGAGGGGGTTTAGATGAAAGACCCGAACGGACATTTCGAGCCCTCGACGCGAGAGGCCCCCGGGAGGCCCCAAGAGGCTCCTCAGAGGCTCCCAAACTGCCCCCAAGAGGACCCCGAGTTCGAACCCTACAGTCCTTTAGGGCGTGAGTGCTTTGGCGGGTTTACTCTTCAACCCCCTTCTTCTCCTTGGGGGGTTCCCACCAGTCCTTTAGGGCGTGAGTGGTTTAACGGCTTTCCTCTTCCGACCCCCTTCTTCCTCTTCGGGGAAGGGTTTACCACTCTCCCCTACCTCTCCCCCAGGTGACTGGCAGCCAACCCAGACCAATGAGAACACCCCCTCTCACCATCCCTTGTACAAAAAACAAAATGCACTTCACCTCCGAATCTGGAGCATGCGCGGGCGCCCCGCGACCACTTCGCATTGTTTTTGACAGGGACGGTGGCGGTGCCGACATATTGCTTGCTGTGCGCAGGGAAACCTTCCCTATCAGGAAACAAAAAGACATTCACATTGGCTCCAAATCTGGAGCGTGCGCAGGGTGCTCTTTTATCTGAGCTCTCGTGTTCCACGATTCTCACAGATGTTACACTTTGTCCATCGGTGCCGGTGCTTTGCGCTCCCTGAAGGAGCCACCCTTCACACATAATGCTCGGCTCTTCGCTTCTGGGGGATTCAAGATTCTGAAACCCTTGGGGCCGGGGGCCCCAGGCACGTGGGGTCCCGCTTGACGCATCGTAGCTGGCGCACCTGGCGCGGCTGGGGCACGTGGCACAGTTGGCGCACGTGCAGCACGTGCGCAGGTGCCGCACCTGACGCACTTAGCATGCTTGGGCCTCCAGGGTGCCTGGTGCACCTGGAACCCGTTGCGCACATGGCACGTCTGGCGCTCCTAGGCGAAATCTTGCCGTCGCTCGGACGTCCATTTCCCGTGCCTTTTTCGGTTTCGTGCGCGTTGTTGGTGTTTGCTCGATGGTCCAAGATGGTCCTCGATGGATCTCGCCGAGAAACAACGCACACGTCCGGGCGATGCCAAGATATGCTGACACTCGGGTGCTATTTCTGTGTTGGGAAGGCAGGTGGGAGCGAGCTAGACGGCTTGCCATCCAGGAAGGTCGTTTGATTCCTCCCCCTACTCTGAAGTCGGGCGTGTCCCCCATACAGGGGGATTTTAAACGAAAAATAAAACATGTTCAAAACTATTCAAAAATGGCAGAAAAACTATTCAAAAAATAATGCCCAAACGATGTTTCAACTATTTTTTGATATTCGTCCTGTAGAGGGACGGGCCCGACTTGACCCTTCCCCTTCCCCCTGGTCCTGGACGGGGCGTTTCGCGAGACGTTGGAGCGCCCAAGATGTCCTCGGCGAAGAAGCCCCAATCGCAAATTGTTTGTGCTGAGTCTTGGCCACATCTTGGCCTCCTGAGGGGGGGGGTTCATTGGGGCACTCATTTGATCGATTTCCTCCAAGATGGCCCCAAGAGCTGCCCAGGAGGCCCCAAGAAGCTCCCAAGCTCACAAGAGATCTCAAGACGCGCCTGGGGGGGGGGCTGATTGAGGGCCCCCCTGCTTTGATCGATCTCCTCCATAATGGCCTCAGGATTGCCCCCGAAACTCCTAAGGGTGCCCCAAGTTGGCCCCAAGATGCCCCCAAGAGGTCCCAAGAGGCCCCCAAGAGGCCCCCAAGAGTGCCCCCAAGATACTCCCCAGAGGCCCCCAAGGGGCACCTAAAGCGCCCCACGAGGCCTCGGAGAAACAGCCAACATCATTGCTTTTACCGCGGTGCTTGCCACATGTTGGCCTCTTTGGGGGGGACCCTACATTTGTGGATGCCTCGACAATGGACACCCTAACAGTCCTATCATTGAATTTAAGATATGTTTGAAATGTGGCAAAATGTTCTAAGCATGTGTTAAGCATATGTTGTTACATGATTAAGACATGTTACACACATGGTTTAGACATCTGGGAATTATTTTGCAACATGCTTCCTCTCCATTGATCGTCCTCCAAGATGGCTCTGGTCCCCGAGGTTCCGCGCCGGGTGCACCGCAGCACGATGCCTATGTCCTGGCCGCTGGAAAATTTAGAAACTGGAGCATATACATTACCAGTGGTGGCTTGTTCTTTCAATCCCACGACCTTTCGAGGGTCGGGGACGACGTCGGCGTGGTGTAGTGTATACTCGTCCCCCGTTTTTCAAGGGAAGCAACCAAGCATGTATACACCCAGATCCCGTATACACCAGGATCCGCGTTCCTATGCGAATTTCAGCGCAGGGTCGGAAAAAAAGCGTCGGTGTATAGAGTTCGCTTCCTAAGGATACGAGCTCTATACGCCGACGCTTTTTTTCTGGCCCTGCACTGAAACTCGCACAGGAAAGCAGATCCTGGTGTACACGGGATGTTGGCGTATACATCTTTCGTCATGTCCCCAGGGAAAAGGGGAACCACAGATACACCGCACCACCCCGACGTCGTCCGTGGCCCTCAAAAAGTCCAGGGATTGAAACATAACACGCCGCTGGTAATGTACATGTTCCAATTTCCGAACATTGATAAACACACACACACAATAAATCCGCCGGCAAATGACGGCAGCGAGCGTGCAGCTAACGAGCGTTACCGTCAGCTCTGGCAAGGGGCCTGGGAGGTGCCCCGCCCGAGCAGGGGCAGCAAAGGGAAAGAGGACGGCGGAGGAACAAGGACACACCCCACCGACAGAGCCAGTGCAAGGGCGACCATCCGCCACACCGAAGGGTACCCACGAGGCCCAAGACGGCTCCCAAGGGTGCCCCAAGACGGCCCCAAGAGGTGCCCACGAGGCCCAAGAAGCCCCGACGATGCCCCCAAGATGCCTTCAAGAGACTCCCAAGAGACCCCGAAGAGGCTCCAAGGGGGCTCCCAGAGGCACCCAAAATGCCCCAAGAGGCCCCCGGGACTGGCAATAGACCTCCAAGACGCCCAGATAGGACTCCAAGAAACTCTCGAAAGAAACCCGAAGAGACTCCGAGAGGCATCCAAGAGGCCTCTGGCCTTTCTGCTCGCCCTCCTCCTTCTCCCCCTCTTCCTCCTTCTCCTCCTCCTCCTCCTCCTCCTCCTCTCCCTCCTCGTGCGCCTCCTCCGATTCCTCCTCCATCCACCCCCTCCTCTTGGGGTACGACGTCTTACCCAACCTGTCATTCCACTGCAGTTTCCTCCACATCCCTGATTAGGGCAACTACCTTGGGCATCGTCTCTGGGTGGGCTGGTGCGATTACGCGAAGCCTCTAGAATTCGCTGGGTTCTCAGAAAGAGCCGCTCAATGCAATCACTGTTTGGGGCGTCCTCCGTCGAGCGTTACATGTAGTTTTTCCCCACATCCTGAGTCGGGTTCTTGTTTTCCCAGAGCATC